GCGATAAAATATGTGGGGAGCTTGGCACAGCCAACGGCAAAACAACGGATATCTTGCTGGTAGTCGATCCATTCAAGATACACCCAAAATTCCGGGGTTTTCATTGTCCGGAGATTGCTGAAAGTGCTTGAGCGGTATGCTGCCAGGTGCAGGACTTTGGAAATTTAAAACAATTATTTAGATTTAGATTTATTTCGTATTATAATCAAAAATTAAAGGTTAAAACTATAACTAAAATAGGTAATAAAAATGTTGAATAATTGTACACACTGAAATCAGAAAAGGTGATATAATAGTGCATATGTTGAGCAGGCCGCACTGCTGGCCTTGAAATCCATAAATCCGTGCAAATTGCTGCAGATATTTAAACTAAAAACATATTACAAATGGCTTTTTTGTTATAGGGTTTGGCAGTACTCTACATTTTGTTTTTGGGGGACAATTAATAGTATCGCAAAGGGAACCACGTTTTACAAGATTGGAAGATGACATGTCGACTGCTGCGGCAAAGATGCCACTGGCCATGGCGAGGACTGCAAAGGTGATGACTGTAAACTTCATTTGTAAAAGACTTGCTAATAAATAAATTGATATTTGCTAATGGTAAGGGTGTGTGGTAAGGTATCAAAACAGATGGTATGAATACCGGTAAAAAAGCTGGCTATTTATATGTGGATAGATGCGGGCAACATGAAAATAAGTTTGGCTTGTTTGGAGAGCATCTTTGCTAAATAATTATTTTATATTTTACATTGAGTAAAACAATATACAGATATTTTGGTTTTATTAAGTTGTGCACATATCAAAAACGATTTAATAACAACTGTAAGTGGCGCTTTTGCAGTGTGTTTTTTGTCCACATGTTTTTACACAAACATTGATTAGCCAGTGTTTATTTCAATAAATTATCACAACTTTTTATTATCAAAATAATTGGGGCATATGTTTTCAATGTGTAGAGGCGTATTGAACAATATGCCAGGTGATATTTAATTTGTAGGATTTTATAAACTAAAACTAACACCCGCTGTTTTTGTTGCATTTTGATTATTCAATAGCTAGCAAATCAAGGCTTTTTATAAATTAGCGCGAGAGCCAGGAAATATTGATATAGTTGCTTGTTTTACTCAAAAAATGAAGAAAATATGGCTGCAAGGGTTGAGCAGTGTCATTAATAGGGTCCTTAAAATAATGTACTTGTTTGAATAGTTTAGTTTTGTAAAATAAATTAACTATTGAGGCAACACCAAGATAATTGTCAAACTTTTACCATCAGGCTGTCAATATCTAGAGCACAAAAAATACAATGCAAATAATGGCAGAATAAAAAATAAAGCACCAGACCCAGCCACAAACAACAGTTTTCTTACATTTGCGTTGCTATTTTTGAGCTGCACTAGATGCGATTTTGCAGAGCAGGCTGTATAAATTGGTTATATATTATCTACACAGTGAATATGCCCATCTCAATCCTAACGAATAGCTCCTAATTGAATGTATCATTAGCTGTACACTCCAATATCTCCTATTTTTTCTTAACAAAAAGCTGAAGCATTTTTTTCTGCAACAGCTTTTTGCTGTAATGCTTTCCAATACCAATTGCAATCCCAAGCAAATGTCAATACAGCCACATTGTTTGTATGCTTGCTGTCATCTCTTATTTTATATTTATTTTTACCAACGCTCTCTTATCAGCTAAACAGAAGATTAAGCTGGACAAGTGCCCAATAGTTGTACATGTGTTTCTGTTTGATGGCTGTTACACATGATCAGCCAAAACACAGACTAAATCAGTGGCTGCAAAAGTGCATGCAAGCTGAAATTATGCAATTTGATATTCTAATATTCTAATATTATCTGATTTTTTCGAGCGATATTTACGAAATTCATTCTCTTGGCTTTTTAAGTCTAATTTTTGTAATTGTATTTTTCAATGGAAATTTTAGGTGTGGTATGTACAGTAGTTTTATTTTCTGCCATGATGAGCGGCAAAGACAAAAATTAGCACAGTTAAAAGTAAAGTGCCATCTAAAAAGCATCGCCGCGCAAATTATAGCTGTTTAGAGCCCATAGAGCATCGAGTGCGAAATGTCGTTGGACGCTCGGAGATATTTGCAACTGGTTGTCATGTCTTTGGGCTTGGTACATGCGCTACTCTTTCTAGCCATGCCCGTGTTGTGATTTTGTGAGGAGCCCATCCAGACGCTGGCAATCCGGAGAAGGTATACGAGTAAACCCCGCCCTCCTCCCATTCCGCTGCCTCTGATTTCAGGTCTTAGGCGTGTCACCAGCCGGATTCATATTGAACAAATGTTCTGTGGGCCCCCGTATATACCACAGTTACGGGTCTTACGGAATGGAACCGGCCCGATTTTTATTAAAAACCATGGGTCTATTTTATCTCCAGGTTTTTGTTAGGTGTTTTGTTGACACTTGTGTATACCCCCAGACATGACATTGATGAGACCAGTTGCAGATATCTTACCGAGTGTTTACTAGACACATTATTTTTGTTGTGCGCGAATGAGCGTGACTGTGGATGTGACTGTGACTGTGGCAGACAGCGGCTATAATATATGGGCCAATGTAATGCAATGGATGATGCTGCGCGAGAACTGCTGTATATGTGTGTGTGATCCCCTCCTACAAAAGTTGTGTATTGTGAACCGATAATCCATGTTGAAGTCGAAGTTGAAGTTGATGCTGCTGTGTGTGCGCGCGTGTACCGTAGTTATGCCGTTGTAATGTTAGAAAAATGTGTGTGTATTGGAAAAAAGGTGGTAGTATTTAGAGGAAGTGGTGGTTGTTGGGAGGGAGATAGGGAACCAAAAAATAGTTTGGAAAGTGGGCGCTCTTTTTATATGAAATGAGATACTCGAATGGATGGAGGAGAAAGGCAGCAAAAAAGGCACTGTCGGTTGGGGAAAAGAGTTGGAAAAATAAAAAATTCAGTGGGTTCTTTGTGTTCCGCCAGCCTGAAATATTTTTGTACTCTTTTTGCGCACCAAGAGGCTTGCTTCGGGCAATGAGACACCCCAAAACTGCCGAAAAATGGCATAAAAATATTTTCATATGCTTGAAGAATAAAATGGGGTTAACATGGTCATTTTTGCTTTTTTTTCGGTACAAACAATGCAAAGCCATTTTGCAAAATACAAGCATGCGGTTGGCTATTTTTGCAAGCCGAACAATAAAATTATTTGTTTTTTATGAGCGAGGCTTGTTCCAAAAATTAACATGTACATTTAGTGAACCCGGGTAAGAGACCCAACATGAAACACGAACAATTGCTATTTGAACAGACAATTGATGACTCTCAAAAAACAGGCACACTGTTCCGTGACAGAAAAGTAAGGGGTAAGTGAGTATAATACATGTGTTGCATTTGTTTACGGAAACTAATATATTTTTTATTTGCCAACACTGCCCTTTTGTTGAAAGAAAGCTTGGAAACAAAGCATTGGACGCCATAAATTTGTGTTTTTTTGATTTCTACCAGAATAGTGAAAAATGTATTTCTCTTACAAACTAAGAAACAGTGCAAATGCGCCGTTTTGACCAGGCAGAAGAACCATTGCACATATAAAGCTGATTAACGCAATAAGACATTTGCTTCTGCCTGTTTTCTGGGTTAGTAGGGCTGTTGGTTTGTTTGTTGTGATTTTCAGTGACTGGTCGAAAAATAGCTACAATGTAATGATCATGCAGTTACTTGAATTTTACAATTTCAAAATAGGCAAAAACAATTTGGCTGTTTTGTACAATTGGATGTTTCATTTGATTTAGAAAGATAGATAATAATTGCAATAGCTTTGTTTATATCTTTTGATTCAACATGCCTAATTTGTCTATTTAAATTAGCTTTACAAATTATATATTTAATTAAATCACTCAAGGCGTAAGATAGGCGTGAGGCTTTTTGTATGAACATAGAGCATGTACTGTGCAATCCTGACGCACAAATGTAGGCAGGCTTTTAGAGCAAGTGATTGGCCAAGTATTTTTTGTTGCCATCATATTTTTCTTATTTTTTGCATAGACCATCTGAGCAGGTTTTGCAATGCACTGTATTGCTTTTATTTATCTTTTACATTCTTATATTTTTACTCAGCACATTGCTAATTGCACGCAATGGACAGGTACTGGAGACTTGTTTTGCTTGAACAAAGTATGTTTACGCCAGCTGTATTTATTATGGCAGTAGCCAAAAGAAGTATATAAAATACTTATTTTAATCAAGCACTCGTCTGTCGACAAATTGTTGCCAGTAAAGTCAACTAGCGCATACTTTACCAAAACGTTCTCAGCTATCAAGTTTTTTGAATGAGAATATACCACGTGTGATTATAACACATCCACCAATAAATTATGTTCTGTTCTTAGCTTGTCTTTGACTTGCCTTATTAAAAATATGCTGTCACAGTTTAATTTCTAGGTTTAATAATTTAGAACAAAGATAATACGGATGCCGCTTTATCTACGTTGGAGATAATGCCAGAAAGCATTTGCTTGAATATCTCACTGCATCGGAGAATACAGAACTTGTGCAAGTAAATATATCCAACTTGTTCTACGGGTCTAAGCGATACGATCCGTTCGATTTGTCAATGTATACTTTCTTTGTTTGAGATTGGCTGTATGCCAACTAAATAAAATTGTATTTCACGCAATCTTACCACCAATGGGTGTGTTAGAAGTGGATTGATTCCAACAGTATTCTTTTTTAAGCACACATACTTGACAAAGCCTGTGTCTGAGCCCCCAAAAGGCAATTGTCCTGAGGGATCACCTGGGCTGACCACTGTCTTGACTTGATTCTTAAAAACACTGTAGACAACACTTGAAATAATGCGATCCCGGGGTTGAATTATCTGGTTCAATAAACACGCGACTATTAATTTAATAATAAGCAAACATATTGTGACCATTTTCCGCACTAAATTTATATATTAGTTTAAAAATTAAAAAATAATACACAAACAAGCGCTGAGATAACCTTGGTTTCCATACAGGTGGGGCAAAATAGGACGTGGCACAACGTCTAACTTTTAAAACAGGCACCAGCGCATGCACTGATGGTAGTCCCAGCGACCACGGCAGCGCCAGTTGCACTGCTGCCATCTCCAGCTGCCAAATCCACCCTGCGGCTCGGCAATTGCTTCGGGGGCGGCCTCGGCTTCAGCAAGGGCATCAGCATAGGCATCGGCGCGCACGACAGCGGTGGCAAAAACAGCGACCAGGGCAAGAGTGCTGAATGAGAAGAACTGCATTTTGAAAAGAATCGTTGTTGAATAAAGTAAGGATGTTTTCGGTTGTAAGTAAAAAAAAAGAACAAGAGTACCTAAAGAACTACCAACTGGAATACTCGAGAAACCGTGTCTTATTTATACATGTCATTTTTAGCAATAATGGAAGCAGCATCCTGTACATGTCATTGCTGGAAATGATTCATCCTTTTGTGAACATGCTTTTAAAGCGCTGACATCCAATGCTACGCGAATCAGTTTGTGAATTGACTTTAACGATCTTTGCAATATGCCAAACCTAACAAAAACAATTGACAGCGATATTCAACAAAGATACTATTGTGCTTGGTAGTGGAGCTGGCCAAGATGAAGCTGTAAGTTTGTGTGAAAACTCATTCACTTTTCCAACCCTGCATTTTAATTATTTATGCGTCTTTTTTATTTTAATTTTGTATTTGTTTAACAGAATGGGCAACACATAAACAAATTTCCAGTATGTTTTTTTGACTTGTCATTGCCACCACTATGTTGTTCAGAGGTTATATCTCAGTATTTTTAAGATAGCGCTTTTGAAAACCAGCATTAAAAACTGGGTTTTTTTGACACAGCAAAAATCACAAGTAATATTTGCCATTAAGCACGTTTTTGAGAGACAAATGCTAAAGTTACAAAAATGCAGTCAATTCCAGTAAATGTTGTATATTTGCACATGCTAAAAACAAATGGTTTGTGGTTCGTCTACAAACAAGAACCTGCTGCTCATTCTGCCTGAACAAACGGGTTTTCAATTTCCTCCGAGCCGTCTGTCGGCGATACCAAGATGATGCTCGGTCCACGCAGCACAACAAGACCAATATGCCGCTTCCGCTCTTCTGAAGAGTCTGGGTTTTCGGTATCTAAAAATGCGAATACAAAAAAGGCGCATATTATTTTAGTCACCAACGTGCAATGGATCTGTAGAAAAAAGACATCTTAATATTGTTTAATGTGAAGCTTACCGCGCAAAGTCTCTTCGGCTTCGTCCAACACAATATTCAGGAGCTGGTCTGATCCCTTGAGCACGCCAGTCACTACAACATAAAAAGATGAAGTATACAAGATATAAACCAGAAAAATTAGGTTAGCAAAACACAAAAACGCAGTTGACTATTCTCTCTCTGCAAAAAAAAGCTCTGACTTTACATACCTTCGCGTCCGCCCATGAATTTGACGCAGATGCGCTTGTCAGTGTATTTTTTGAGATCGAATATCGCGTCACGCTTCTTCTTTTCCTTGTTGTCGCGGTCGTCATTCCCCTGGTGGTTGCCTCTGTGGCTGGTGTTTCCTCCGTAGCCGTTGTTATTGCCACCGGTGTTACCAGTATTGCCGCTGCCGCTGGTGCCGGCGCTGGCTGTGTTGCTTCCTCCGCGCTGCCCAGTGTTCCCTCCGCCTCTCGAATAGTAGCCGCCTCCACGCATTTTACTCTGTTATTGTAGTTTGGTGACAAGGGAATTTGGATGTGGTAAATTGAGAGAATAGATTCGAATGCAAGAAAAAAAGAAAGAATAGAAATGCAAACCGTCAATTTTCCATTTGCGGTCTACATGTTATGCGCGTACGCTGTGGAAAATCGCATTAGCGATCACGGGGTTATTAGTAGATCAAATCAAGAGTATGTATGATCGGTTTGGGCATCAGCCGCACGTGGTTAAACTAAGCAGCGCAGAAGCGTTGCCCATGCAATATTTTAATTGCACTTCACCAAGAAAAAAAACCCGCTATTGCTATTGCTGCTGCCGATAACAGGAGAAAACCCACGGATTGGTGAAGGAAAAAGCTACCCCCAGACAAAAAAATTTTAAGCTCGTGTGCTTCCCTTCTTCGTATTTCTCTTCTCAACATTTTTTGTTCTTTTTTGGTAGAACTGGTTTTCTCTTATTGTTTCAACCTATTTTTTTTTCTCACACACAAACACAACCACAACCACATAAACCATCGATAAAGATGCCGATGGATTCTTCGCAGTGGATTGATGTCGTCGAGGACAAATTCAAGTACAAGCTCGATCACTTTGTTGTTCCTGGACATTACAAGGATGATGTTGAGAGCATCCTGATCCCTCATGGAATCATTATGGACCGGATCGCCAAGCTGGCACAGATTATCACATCCGAGTATGATAACGAGCGTGTTGGTAAGTGTCGAAGATTTTTCTAAAACGGGAGCTTGTGGAATGCCTTTGTTTCATCACTTGTGCAGCTGATGGTGCAATGGCTGATCGATTGTTTTTCTAACTTGCGTAAGGCTGCGGCATACACTTTTTTTTTGCGTATGTGATGTAAATTTTTTTGTAGTCGTCGCTTGTGTGCTCAAGGGCGGCCACCAGTTCTTCAGCGACCTTGTCAATCTTATGAAGAAGGCGCTTAACAAGGAGGGCAAGACTTTGCCAATGACCCTTGACTTTATCCGCGTCAAGAGCTATGAGAACGACAAGTCGACGGGCAACGTGCACATTTCGATGACCGAGAAGGAGCTCAAGGAGCTCAAGGGAAAGGTAAGAATTTGCGAAAGTGCATTTTTTGACGCTCGGGCAATTTGTTGCGCACGTGTTGAAAAAAAGAACCGCTGATTAGCTGCTTGAGTCGACAGCTTGAACCAAGCGATCGATTTGGGCTCAGATCACTCATCTCATTTTCGCTTGAAAAAAGGATATATAATTACAACGCACAATTCTCACAACTACTAACGCTACACATAACCCCCTCTGATGCTGTGCATTTTCATCGGCTCTTTCCCACCCAACATATAGAACCTTTTGCTTGTCGAGGATATTATTGACACGGGTAAGACGATGCAGAGGCTGCTCGAGACATTGTCCAAGTATGAGCTCAAGTCAGTCAAGGTGGCGTCGCTGCTTCTCAAGAAGACGCCCCTGTCATGTGGGTACATTCCCGACTACGTTGGATTTGCCGTGCCCGATCTGTTTGTCGTAGGCTACTGCCTCGACTACAACGACATTTTCCGCGACCTCGACCATATTTGCGCCATCAGCGAAACAGGAAAGAAATCGTACGCCGTGTGAAATACTTTTTTATTCTTGCCCCCCCCACCTGCCATTCTCACTGTTTTTCTCTTCTTTTTTAATGTTATGCACATGGCATGCGATCAATAACAAGGCGATATAGGGCTCGGAGTGCCAGAAATGAGAAACGGATACATGCATACAAATGGAATGTTTCCCTTTTTAATTTGAAGCAGGAAATGAACGATATCGCGAATGAAACTTGTTCGCACATGACGCCCTGTTTTTATGTGTGAACCTGCATCTTGTGCCTCAATTTTTGTTTCTGCGCTGATATATACACAATGGTGCGCGTGAATAAAAAACCCTCCTTTTTAAACTTATTGGTGGAAAAATGCGGGGTTTTTCTGCCAGCGAAAAATCAATGCAACATCGCAAATAGGAACAGAAAAAAAGAAAATTAGAGTGCAGTGGAGAGTAGGGAGTTTTGACATAAAATGTCAGAACCACACATGACCACGAGACCCTCCTGCGGTGCAAGGTGTGGGATGTTATATCAGCTGTGTATATTTTTTAGTCTCTCTCTATTTATTATCCTCCAGGGGACCTTTTGCAAAACAAAAGCGATCATGCACATATCAGTTGCACACAGATGAATAACAAGAGTGCAAAAAATAAATATTAAGTGGTTTTCATTGTTTGAAATGAGTGAAAAGATATTACAGATTATTATATGGTGTAGAAGCAAAAACAAAAATACAGATGAAGTACAGAAAAAGACAATATGGAGAAAATGGGAGAAGGGGAGGAAAAGAGAGGCGAGGCGAGGCGAGCTCAAGCCGATAAAGCAAATAAACACCTGCGCCAGACAAAGCCCTTTTTTGAAATGTTTTTTGTTGCTGCCAATGTTGATGTGGTCAACACAGGGGCCCAACAAGCACCATTAGTTGTCGCCTGCTCTCCCCTCACATTGTACTCGCCACAATCCCCAAAGCCCCTTCATTTTTTATGTGTTTACAGGAGAACGGGAGCGAAGGGAAAAGATGATGAGGGCGTGTATCGTGGCGTATATGTTTTAAAATATGCGTTTTTTTACGCACGGGCACCGCCGCTGCCGCCACTCTTGGAGTTTCCACCGGCGCCCAGCGCAGGTATAATGGGATCAATGAAGCGATACAGGGAGTCCATAATTCGAGAAGACGCACCAAACTCGCCATTCCTTCCCGCGGGAGGCGAGCCACTGCTGCTGCGCCCACCTTCAGACACGATGTCGCTCAGCGAGTCACTGTTACGGCGTCTGATGCGCGCTTCCATGCTGGCCTTGGCCTCCAATTCCTTGCGCTCAATCTCGGCGCACTCCTCGTCGAGAAGCTTGCGCAAATCAGGGAATGACTGGTATGAAGACGCTTCAATGTCGCCGTCGCCCTCTGCTTCCAAGCCGTATATCTGGCACCATGCCTTGACTGACGATAGCTGCCTGACGCGGCGCCGTGACATTGGGTTTCCAGAGTCCATGATGTGCTGACCGGCTGACGATGACGATGACGATGATGACGCTGTTGATGTTGACATGACCCAATAAGTAATAAAAAAGAGAGAAAAGAGGAAAAGGTAGGAAGTGGTTGGCTGGCTGGTTGGTTGGCTGGTTGGTTGGAGAGAAGAAATTCTAGCTGTTTAAAAAACTCGCGTATATCAAGCTTGTAAAATATGGAGGGCAAAAATTTTAGTAAGGGGGGCGGGAGGGGCGACATTTATAGCCCAGTCGGTAAATGGGGGGGAGAGGGGAAGTAAGAGAAGTGGGGGGTGTAAGCGGGGGAGGGTTGAAGGGAGGAAGTGTGAATTTTTGGCCAGCTAGCCCTTCACTCGTTCCCGGCGTCAGCTCTGATGAAAACATTACACGAGCCTTTTTTTTGGCACAGTCGAAGCAACAAGAAGCTGCAGAATGGCTGGGAGACACAGAGCCAAGTCAAGGAGGTCGCTAGCGAATAAAAATACAGCATTTATTTGGGCTGCCACTGCGGTTGCTGACTTGCTCTTTGTCCGATTTCTTTTTTCTCTCTTTTTTCGTTTTTATTTTGGCACATTTTGGCTTTGAGTTGGCCAGCAGCAGCTTGTAACAAAAAGACACCTTTGCAGCTCTTTTTTTACACCCCCCTTGATTTTTTTTACACCCCCCTCCCTATTTTTTCTCTCTCTATCCAAATTGGTCACCAAGTTGGGAGCGGCAAGCGCAAATGAAATAAACAAGATATTTGATTCCCGTATTTCCACCATGTTAGTTCTTTTCCACACTGACGGGGGGAAGGGGGGGGGCAGAGCAACTGTGGAGGGATGCGCATCCCTGCGCAAAAAAAGCAAAAATAAAACATGGCTTGCTCAGAAAAAAAGGCATGGCTGCATTCGTTCTCTTATTTTTTTGAAGTCCGCGTTGGCTTGGTACCTTGGTTAGAAGCAACTGCCAACTCTGTCGACAACACAATCACACACCAAACTTGGTCCCTCCCCTTGAATCCAATATGCTCACAAAACACCAATAGCAAGTAATGTTCTTTGACCTCTGCTCAGGCTCTCGGGCAGCCCAAAATAAAAACACCCTTTCCCAAGGGCCATGTATATTTTTCCTACTCTTACTCTTTTTTATTTACACAATGGCGCTCACATGCCCATTATTTTTTCTTTGTTTTTGTGTTTTATTTTGGTGCTCGGCCACTTAGCTCGCGCTGGAAATGAAGCAACAGGTTTTGTTCCTTTACTCATTGTATGCAGAATCGAGGTGAAGGATCAGCAGTGGCAGCAACAAAAACAAATTGCTTGTAGAAAATCAAACGAGCAGTCAGTTTGGCAACAACAAAAACAACAAAAACAAAAACAAGAGAAAAAACAAGAGCAGCAAATACCAGAATCTAAAATCACAGTTTCAATTGTAACAAAAAGATTAAAATCACAAGTTCACTCCAAGCCAAAGCAAACACCAAGTTGCAATGTACAATATACAATATATAAAAATAGGGGGGGGTACGCAAAGAGAGCAAAATCACTTTATAATAGGCGTGCTTTCTTTGCTGCTACTTTTCTATTCTGACATTTACACCTTTTCCCAACAGCAGCCAAAGCAAAGGCAAACATCACTTGCTTGCCTCATTTTTAATTATTAGTTGAACCAGCCAGCTATTAAACCAACCAACAAGCTAACAACTCATGAATAATGAAAAGTCGCGGATATGATGATTGAATTTTCACCAAAATGAAGATTTCCTTGTTCGTCCGTTTTCTTACTGCCTATTCCATGTTCTCGTTCATGATTGTTTTTATTTTTTTGACAGCAAGATCTTCAGGGAGTTGTGCTATCAGAATAATGCCACCAACATTGCGACTGACTCGGTTTTTTTGCATTTCAATTTGCAGTCAAGTAAAAATTAGATGAATGCAAGAGCTGTGCAAAATGAAGGCTGCTGCAGTTTGAATATTTTCATTTCGTCATTTTCTTCATTCAATCAATACTTCTTTTTTTGCTGGAAGTACGGCGTTTCTGCTGCTGATGCTGCTGCCTGGCTCAATTTGTCGTCTAAACAGGTGTGGAACAAGATTATTTTCTTTGTGCTACCGCCACAATTGGCAGGGTTCCCCCCCTTTTTTCCTGTGAAAAGCTTTTATATTTTTTTTGCAACAGGATCATACTTCAAAAAATTACTTTTGCGCGTAAAACAGGTCTTCTTGCTATTGGCAGGCCCAATCCAATGTTGGCGCTGGAATCCGTGTATGTTTATAAAAAAATATGTCAATATCACCTGAATGCTGAATGTTGGATGCTGAATGCAATGATGTTCGTGACCAATTTTCTTAACGGTGTGAATTATTTTTTAGCGTTCCAGAGTCGCCGTCGGATCTCTGACCACTCATCATCGCCCCAATGCTGCGCTGCCGGCTCTGTATGCACCCCTGTGCTCGTGGTGTTTTGAACACTGGCTGGCGATTGCAAAGCTGTGGACGACTCAGTGTGATTCGAGCTACGTTCTTGCCCCTGCTGGCGATGCTGAAACAGGCTCGGGTGCGGCAAGACGTCATAAATGTTATTGTTGGACGACATTGCAGTATATCGATATGTGTAAGGAATAGGGGTATCGAAGGGATTGACTTATTGCTGCCGATGACGTTATGGAGTATATGTACAGAGCGGCCAAAGATGTAAAAAAAATATATATAATGAGGATAAATAAGGCTTACAAAATATATAGATGTGGTTGATGCTAAGAAGAAACGGCTGGGTGACAAACAAGTGAGCAATAAAAAAAACAGTATGCCCCCCCTCCAAACTCATTTATTTTATAGAAAAAGGATATTCTTGTTGTTATTAGCAAGCAGGCTGCCCAAAAATATGCGCTCATAAACAGCTCAACTGAATGTTTTACTCAAAGCATGACAACACAATCAGACTTTACATGTGCGTGCAAATTAGCCGCTGCTCTGGAGGCATGAAATTTTTTTTGCTTTTAAGGGGGGAGGAGGAGAGACATGCAGCCATCAATTGTGTGGGTGAAAAGACAATGATTTATAAAAAAACGGGCGCAGCACTAAACAAAATGGCGTGTGGTCAAAATGCAGATTACGGTATGTGTGTGGAAAAAAATAAGAATTGCCAGCCGATGAGCACAACATGACATAATGCAAATGGGACTGCCATGTTACCATTGAGCAACAAATATACGCTTTTTTACATGATACACAGTTTCAAATATTGTGCAATATAACGATGTAAATGGATTTTGGAATTTCCAGACATTTATAGTAAAAGTCCGGATTTTTAAGCGGGGGATTTTCAAAACCCGTTTTTTACGCAAAAAAGGCATTGACAGAGTTGGGCTGAAGCCGAGTCTACAGCGATGCTCAAGCCAAAGCCCAACCCCAAGCATGTGCGCAAGAATCCATCTGTCCCTGCTTCTTCTCTTTAAAAGAAGCAGCAAACTGAATAATATCGTCAACCATAGTAGTGGCCTATTGCTACTAGTTTCTAAATACCTGTCAGGTTGCTATGCAATCTGAATGGGAAGGATGTCAATTTGCAGGATACTTGTGGCCTCATTATTTTCTTTTAGTGTATAACAATGTTATTCGGCAATCACTGCCATGCCTGGCTTTCGCACAAGTTCTGATATGATAAAAAAATTATCAGAAAAAAAACCTTTCCAACTTTATTGAATCAAGCAACGTACGCGGTACCCTGCAAGTTGCGGCATTTGACCGAAAATTCGTTGATTACACCCTTGGCCTTGACGAACGACCTTGTCGACAAAATTTGCTGCAAAAACAGGCGCTTGTCGGCAGCAGTGACGTGGGACGAAGGAAATTCGGAATTTGCCAACATCTCAGTCATCCACTGTTTGACGGTTAGTGGGTGGTGCTTGACCATGGAAAACAGCAGCTCAGCAAGATTGGGCAGCAGCGAGCGGGGATGAACGCCACCGATTCCTACCAATGTGGTGCGCAGCCATGTTGGTCCAAACTCAGACCACACGACAGCCAGTAGATCCGACGTATCAGTGCGCCCGCCAACGCTGCTAGACAGCCGGATGAGCGCAGTCAAAAAGTATGCCGTGGGTTTCAATGCCAGTCGGTTGGGCACGGACAGTGCCTGCACACTTAGCTCGCATAGGTGGCCGACTGCAGCCTGGTCCAAGCAGGCAAACAGTGCCGGGCGCGTCTGCAGCACTCGCGTGCAAAGATCAAATATGTACTCGTTGATGACCGGCTGCTGCTCGATTGCAATGATCAGTGTGGCTACCTCCCGAGAAATGCCAATGTAGATGTCGTCGATTATGCGGGTCAGAATGGCGCCCAGCATGCGGTCGCAATCAGAAACGCTGGGCTTCGTCGGCTGCCACTCATCGGAGGCAGCCGAAAACACAGTCACCAACTGCGAGATGCACTGGAGGAATGCAGGACACTGGTCTGACCAGCGCAAACCAAAAGCAACCGCGCCGCCAGAATTCCCGTTTGTCGGGCGCGCAATAACCGCTGCCCACGCGTTTCCGACAAAATCGACCGCTTCGCCAAACCCAAATGCCAATAGGTGTGGGCCGCGCCGCGTAGAGCTGTTGATGATCGCGAGCAGGCACTCTACCAGCGTGTCGTCCATCTGGAGCATCCCGCTGAGCGGGTCACGGATCCACGCCGACAATGTGAGCACGCGATTCAGTAATCCTAGCAGTGTCAGTCGGAACTCGTGCATGTCGCTGGAGCTGCAGTAGCACTGTGTGGCGTAGGTCAGAGCGGCGACCGCTTCTTGGTCGCCCATCAGCGCGCGCTCCTCGACATCGTCGGGGAACTGCAGACCACGAGCAAGTGAGTCGACTAGCCGCAAAGTGTCAATCAGTGGGGCAAGGAAGGGTCCCAGGTCGGCCAGCGATGCGCCGCTAGGCGCAGCCTCCAAAAACTGCACACTCTTGTCGAGTGCGGCGGCCAGAGAGGACAAGAGTGGCGCCAGCACCACAGTCTGGTTATCGGGCGACTGCACCATGACGACCTCGGCAACAGACTCAAATATCCGCTGCTGCTCGCGGGCTGGTACAGCAGATCCCGCTAATAGCACCTCGCGGGCCAGATTAACCATGCTGTCGGCTGCATCGGCGAGTTGCTCACGGCAGCTGTCACAGATTCGCCTGAATGCTGCGACTGCAGCTTGGACGAGCGCTGGTTGGTTCAGACTGGACGTCATGCACGGCAGGACAATGGGGAGCAGTTCTGGGTGACCCTTCCACCACTCGCCATATGCGCCGATCAGTGAAATGATCGACGCCTTTATCGATGTCAGCCCCCACTGCGTCGCGCGATTGTCGCCGTCGATACTGGTCTGCAGAACGGGCATAAAGTTGTGCGTCAAGAGTTCTGCAGAAAACAGGCGCGGCAAGTGGTCAGACTCTGACTCGGGCACCGCTTCACCCACGCTCTTCAAGGCAAACAAAATCGACTCTATGGTTTGCCAATTGGCCAGACTGAAAGTGCCCATGTTGTTGATCACCTCATCGACAAGCAGCTGCAGCATGTCGCCGCGCAAAACGTAGTACGCGTTGAGAATTGCATCTGCGACGTCGCGCCGATAGCTCATGAAATGGTCTCGCTCCTCCTTGTCGGCATCGATCCACGTCTCTGTCGGTGGGTACGCACTCTTGGACACTAGCGCCCGCAGGAGCTCTACAAACCCGATCTTTATTGTCAACTTGGTCTCGGCCACCTTCTGCGCAGATTCAGGGTCGTCGCTAGCTTCGGCCATGTAGTCAACTAGCGTCTCTTGGAGTAGGTACCAAAAGTTGAGCGGCTGGTCACTGAGGCTTTCCGAGATTCCGTTGTATCCAGGGAACCGGGTCAGCGCCAGCATCATTTGCAGCAGCGTGGCAATATGACCAGACAGCTCGCGGCTGGTGATCATGCTTACAAGGAACTCTATGTGCGTCTCGGCAAATGATATCAGCACCGAGCTCCACCGCATGGCATGCTGTTCGTCGCAGTTATCGATGGTCATTTTGAGGATGCTTGAGAACCACGGCTGGTTAAGCCTTGTGAGAACCAGCGTGCCGACAGTCTGCGCGTACTTGGCAGCCATATTTACATTGCTAACCATGTCCTCGACCACAGCAAGCGCAGCGTCTACCTCGTCATCGTCCGCGACGTTGTCGTCGCTCATCTGGTGCGCGGCCAGAATATGCAGTTGATGCAGGCCCATCTCGAGAATGGTACAAACAGCGTGTCTCCGGAAATGCCGAACTGCAGCCATTGCAAAATGGCCTTCCACGCGCGTGTCCGCCACACATAATCCTGGCCCAGCTGCTTGGCAAACATGGGCACATTTGCAATCTCTGGCGAGCCTGGAAGCCCGCGCACAATGCTGGTGAGCAATTCCAGTACAAATGGCAGTGACTCCTTCACGTCCTGCACGAGCTTCGCCTGCTGCGCCGACCCAATCGCCGTGCGGTTCAGCTCCTCAGGAAAAGCTCCAGAAAGTCGACATTCGCGTATCCGGCACGCATGCTATCCTTCCCCGCGTCCTGCGCGCTTTGCTGGATGGACTCGATCACCGAGGGCAGGAAATTGCTCCACTCGCTGGGTACTGTGCGCAATGCGTATGTGGCGAGCGCCTGGTTAATCTTGTTGAGCACGTTGAGCGGCGCGTCACATTGCTCGGCTACCAGCCGGATCAGCTCTGGCCGCAAGGCCTGCTGGCGCTCCTCGTCGAGCGAATCCCAGTCCCGAGCAATCTTGACCTGAAGTGTGTGTGCTCCATAGAAGCGGCAGTTAAAGTTGCTTGATTTTAGCAAGTCAAACGCAAACTGCCAGCCAATGGGCTGCTTCTGGATCTGGGGCAGCGCCTCGAGAGCCTCTTGTGTGGGTATGCTGAGCGCCTGTGCAAATGCCTGCAAGTCAAAGTTTTCCAGCGCCATAAAAGTGAAGGTAAATAAAAAAGATATGCTTGTGAAATGGGAATGCGCGGCCGTTCCCTTGTCAAGATGGATGTACAGAATGGCAGCTCTAGAATGTGTATATGTTGTATATATAATTTACCACAGTGACGAAATTGAAAGAACTGCTTAAAATGCAAAACGAGCCAAGCACTCGGCACAAAGTTCAAAATGCAAAGCGCAAAGTGAAAAGTGCAAAGAGCGTTTTTCAAATACCACTTGATTAATGCGTTTTGGCAATTTAAACGACTCGATGTAATCGGCTCAGCTCCTGTCATCGCTCAGATCAAGTTTTTTTATCGGAAAAGATCAACCGTGTAAATTTTTGTTATCGACACTTACAGTAATTTTCCTTTAAATTCAAATTTGTTGA